ATAATTGAAAAATGTCCGTCATGTCAAATTTTATATTAATCTAATAAAAGCTCATTTTTCAAAAAAATGTAAAAATGGGCCCTTTTAATACGGAACACCCCATATAACAATAATATTTTCGAAGTTTAAACAACCAGGTTACACGTGATTTTGGAAAATCCAGAAATCTGTCCTGCAAATCATAAATTCCATGTGATCAATTATCATGAGAAAGTTATCCAGGCCCGGAAATTTACTATAAAAGATCATTGTCCCAATAAATATTTTCGCATGTACATAATGTTCTCGTTAAAACCACCAAAATTCGCTTTGATTGCTGGTAAGATCATGTTTTACCTTTTTATTATCCATAATATTTGTCGTTACGCTCAATATCGCGATTAAAATATATAAATATATGTATATATAAGCCGTGGAAGAAAACTGGGGGATCGGAATTAATAATGAACTTCCTTGGAAAATTAAAAAAGACATGGCGTACTTTGAAAGAGTTACTAAAAAAGTGTTAATGTCAGATGAAACTGCTGATACATCTCCTGCTACTTCTTGCAAAAGCATTCAAAATGCCGTAATTATGGGTCGTAAAACTTGGGAATCTATTCCGCCTAAATTTAGACCTTTGAAAGATCGATTAAATGTTGTTTTGTCTAAAACTTTAAAACCTGAAAGGTATTATCAAAAAAATGCAAATCATGTTTATTCCTTTTTTTTTTTTTTTTTACATTTTTATAAACATATGTCTTATATAGCGATACATACGTGATTAATTCATCTCTTGATGAAGCTGTTGCTAATCTTGTTGACAAACCTACGATTTCACGCATTTTTATAATTGGTGGTGGATATGTCTATAAAGAAGCAATAGAATCACCCCTTTGTGAATATATTCTTATTACTAAAGTGTATAAAAATTTTAATTGCGACGCCTTTTTTCCAAAGATTGATGAAAATCTATATGAATTAGCAAGTCATGATGAATTGGTAAACTTTACTGGTGATGATGTTCCTAAAGGTAGACAACTGGATGGTGACATTGAATATGAATTTTTGATGTATAAAAGAAAGTAATACAATACTTGTAATACTTGTGTAAACATGCACAACAAATAATTATGTACTAATCGTTTACGTAATTCGCATGAGTTTGGAAAATAAATAGCATTATTACAATAGGCCTTAGATATTCTTGCCTAATCAACTCATTTACTAATTTCTTGTTTCCGAACTGGGCAACAACATAAATCTTTTTTCTCTATTATACCATATATTCTGTTAACAAAAAAAAAAATGGGTTGTTGCTGCAGTAAAGACGAAGGTGATGATGGTTCAAAGGTAAATTATAACATATTGTCGTTATTCTTTGCCTAAGTAGTCTTCTCTGTGACAGGTTACAAAAAAACGAAAATTTCGTGTCAAATAGCCGAACGAACGATCCCGCCTCATATCTGGTGACGGAAACTCTTATGTTGAGTTAATATCATGTTTATGTTTATTATTGTTGGAATTTGAGTAATAATTGTAATAATTGAAGAATTTTAACGTGTAAAAGAACTCTGCTACTAACTTAGGCAGAGGATGGCGTATCCACGTTACGATGCCGCGGCAGATCGTGATAGAGAACGAGAATCATTGCAAAAAATCGTTCAACGAACAGCTGAGTATGTCTTTCATTACCCCTGATGTTTACTTTATCGTTATTCATTTTTAATTTTTCAATTTTATTTAGAAATCTCATTGACATATCAAACGCCCATGTTATTGAGCGCTTGCAACAACAAGATGTAATAAATCGTGCAAATGAATACAAGTAGATAATCTTGCTTCGTTTTTTTTCGTTTATTCATTTCTTATCTTCATTTACTCACTTGCTTTATCTAATTTAGAGATTTCATAAGTACGATCAAACTTGATTCGAAAACACTTCAAAAGATTCAAGAGAAGAACACTCTACCCAAGTTGCAGAATAGAAAACCACCATCGTTATCTCAAATTTCAGATGTACAAAATACAAAATTGATACCGCCTCATGTTGTTTTAAACGATGGAGGTTTATCTAAAGAAGACCAGATGTGGGTGGGTAAATGATTTATTTTCATAATTTGTCCATTCTTTAATGTGTCATTGTGTTCAAATTCATTTTTTATAATCAGTTACACAAAGCCATGGACGAAATACATGATGCAATTGACCACATCGAGGTTGAATATGTGGGTGATTTGGTAGTTCCATTAACATAGGCAATTCATCCTATTATTTATGGATAAATTTTTTTGCAGCCAAACAAAATTATTTAGTTTGGCAAAATTGGTCGATCTTATTTATGGCAATCTTCACTCTTTTAGTTTGCCCGACCTACCTTGTTATTATCATAAGTAGAATTTTATCGAACTATTTGCAACCAAGTAACCCGCCATTATTGTAATATATGTTTCTGTAATTGTAGCATTTGAGCCAACTCTCAAATTAAAAATTATCCATCTTAATTATTGGTCTAATTACAAATATAGTGCAGGTTATATAGTGATGATCACTAATTAAGATTTTTTTTATAATAAAAATTTTTTTAGATCTATATACAACTTTTAAAGATTATAAAGAATAGTTTGGCATTTCTCGCGTAATATCTTATATTGTTTAATTCTATAAAAGCGAAATGGTTAATTAAAGGCGTTTTTGTATAGTAAAAATGTTAAAAACTGTGTTTAAATTTTTATAGTTTTTAAAGAATATACAATTTTTTCTAAGAATATTGATATTTAAATAAGGTTCTTTTATTTGAAAACTTTTTATTACTTTAGAATGTTTTAATTCAATTTTGCAATTTTAAACTCAACCCAAGTAACTTTTTCAAAGCATTAGATTTAGTAATTATTAGATTGAATTATATTAAATATTTTTGATACTGTATTTATAAATTTGTATTATACTGTATAATTTAATTGTTAAAAAAATTTTTTTTTGGCAATTTTGCTTTTATTATACAAGAGATACATATTATATTAGCAAATTTAATAGAGTATAATATTGTAAAATAATTTATATAAAGTAAAAATACTGTAATATTATGTAAAATATTTCTAAATATTATGAAATATAGTACATATAGAATATTTTATAAGAAATTTTGTAATATTTCAAAATTTATTACAAAATATTACATTTGAATTATTTCAAAAAAATTTGAAATAGATTAATAAAATTTGAATAAGGAATTATATACAAATACAAAGTATACAAATTATTAAAAATACTATATTTATACTATCAATGAATTTTATTAAAAATTTTAAATTGATTTAAAAATAATAAAATAAGTTTTAATTCAAAATAAATTGAATAAGATTGATAGGAATATTACAAAAAAAAAAACTAGAAAAATAATTATTCAAATTATTTTAAAAAAAAATAAATTGAATTTTTATGTATAATATTATATAAGGACCCTCATAGCAAAAGGAGGCAGTGGGACAAAAATTTTGATTTTGTAATTTTATAAACATTGGTTTCCTATCAATCTAATT